TATGTGCAGTAGTTAATACTTGTATGTGCAGTAGTTAATACTTGTATGTGCAGTAGTTAATACTTGGATTTGCAGTAGTTAATACTTGTATGTGCAGTAGTTAATACTTGTATGTGCAGTAGTTAGTACTTGTATGTGCAGTAGTTAATACTTGGATGTGCAGTAGTTAATACTTGTATGTCCAAAAGTCGTATTATTGTCCGTTCTCGTTCTGATGTCAGAAGGAAAGAAAGAGTTCTTGAGTCGGGATGTTTTCCATTTCAGACTCCTGTATCTCCGTCCTGGAGGGAGGAGAGTGAACAGTCCATGTTGGGGGGGTCGGGGGGGGGGAGGTCACAGTCCTCCTGAGAACTCTGCGCTGGTGGACGCTCTGCAACGAGGGCAGAGGAGTTCCTATGATTTTGGATGCAGGCCTGACCACTCTCTGCAGTCCTGACCACTCTCCTGTTGTAGCACCAGGATCAGAGTGATATCAGATGAAATCTCCAGATCTGATAGAATGCTGTCATTAACATCTGCTGCTCCCATCATGCTTCTCTCTCTCTCTGAAGGTCAAACCTTGATGAACTGAAGAGAGGGCCGCGTGATAAAGAGCACCCATTATCTGTGAAACTGGAAGAGCGCCTCCACTCTGTGCAGAGGGGGAAATAGAAAGGGAAATAAAGGCATTAAAAATTGAGATTAAAGCTAGAGGAATAATAAAGGTGAACAGCAGGGAGAGGAAGTGGGAGCGGAGCTCTACATCCTGTGAGTAGTCGCTGTGAAATACTGACGGTTGATCGGTGACAAAACTCCCCTCCCCACTTAAAGCTGACACCTTGGCAGAACGGTTCCTCTCCACAGCGGGCCGTCATGGATGATATCAGGGTACCTGAGAATACTCCCAGCCCAGTTAGAGCTGACACCAGGAAACAGTCTCCCTCCCCCGCGCTCCCACTGTCTCAGCTCAACATTTTGTCTCGGCGGAGATGTACTTTGACAGAATTCCACTCCGCGAGCCCGTTAGCCACAGACATCCCCTCAGGCTGGAATTTAAGACGGGGACGCCTGCTGGTTTGAGTGAATTAAGATGAAGTTGATCTGTAATCTTATCACACAATTGGCGGTTTGCCAATGATCCCTGAAAAAAAACCAAGAGGACGTCCAGCTCCATCCGCTCGTCACCTGGGTGATATTTATAGCGGGGGGTAAAATGTTTGTCTGAGCCAGGCAGCCTGTGGGATGTCCACCCCCCTAATAAGGGTATTCTTGAACCCTGAGCCCATCCTCCAGTCTGTCTGTGCTCCTCTCTGCAGGCTGCGGTGATGAAGTGCTCTGTACTTGCAGTCGTGCAGCAGTGTGCCGTGCATGACAAAGAGAAGAAGAAGAAGAAGAAGAAAATGTGTGGGAAGCCTGGGGAAGGCTGAGCAGCCGCGCTGACGGCCAGGAGGTGAGGAAATGATGAACGGGTGAGAACCTCGGATTAGAAAGAAGAAAAAAAAAACTGTTGATGATGTGATGTGAAACAACCGTCGGCTGTTCAGGTGTCTGGACCACAAACGGAGTGAAGAGTGACGCACGAAGATTCACATTCACACAGATTCATATTCAGGGTCAACTGTGAGTGAACCTGAGTGACTTAGAACTGTTCTGGAGAAAAGAGACCGTCAGGATTCTCTCCTTCCTGTAAGTCAGGAGTTCTGACAAACATTCCAAACGCGTGGACCGTCAAAAATTAAAAAAAAATCAATATCAAAAAATCAGAATCAATATATAAAAAAACCATGTTAGAACCATGAAAATAATCCATATAGTGTGCAGTATGTAGGTGTGTGTGAGTGTGTACTGTCTTCAGTGTCGTCTCAAAGGACTAAATTAGTGAAGAAGTGTGTCCTCTGGTGTGAGGAGCAGAAGAACAGACCATTTGGTGTGTCACAGCAGGAAAATCTATCATTGCTCTGAGTAGAAGATTTCAATAGTGGGAGTGAGAGGGGCCCGGGGGGGGTCACCGGGGGAGTTGATAACCTGAGGTCAGCCCGGGGAGCCCCACACTGAGGCAAACAGACATCAGCATACAGGTCAACAGCTCTTCTCAGGGGTGTAATTAAAATGTTAGAGGTGTGAATTTTGCTGCGGCTGCAGGAGTGTGTTCTGTAGATCTGCTGGAGGCAGAAGCTGCTCTCACTCTGTCAGTGGACGCTCTCTCTCTCTCTCTCTTAACGTCTGCCCGATTGATTTACAGCCTGGAAGTATCACAGTGAAGGTGGAGCAACACCCGCCACGGCAAATATACATATCCACATATATATATACAGTATATATGACTCTCACACCAGGGCGAAATATATCTTTGTATATGTATATACATATATAGACGGGTATAATACTTCAAATTGCAGTTTTTTTTTTAAAATCTGTTTGTGTTTATTATATTTACCTGCCTGAAGGTAAAGTTGTGTTTTGTTTTGTTCACTCCTGGGGGAGGCCCAAAATATCAGAGTAAATTTATACCCTGATGACACTCTTGTTTACGTGACTCTAAGCATGTTTTTTTGACATGAACATGAAACTTTTCTTCTTGATCTAAAGTCCAGTGAGACGAAAAAGTGTTTTTGTAAATTTCGGACGTAGAGAGCTAAAGCTAGGCTACATCCAAAGTGCTGTTTTTTTAGTTTTTTTTTTACCTAAATTCCTGATTCTCTGACAAATCTAGCAACATCGGATGTGGGTATAATAACAAGCCAAGACTCGACACTGGTCTGACGGCCATCCTCCGTTCACAGCTAGTTTTTTTTTTTTTTAAATAATTAACCAGTGTGTGTACAGTGTTCGACTGCCGACTCTTGCCAAGCTAAAGCCGCCGCGTCTTCTGATTTAAGCTTAGCTTTGAGGGATACTCTGAGATGTTAAAGTAGGGAGGAGAAAACATGCCTACCTTACTCCTCCACTCCAGGTCCTTTAATGCAAATCAGTGGATCTGAAGCAGTGGCACGTTTGATCATGAAATTTTTTTTTTCTTTTTTTTTTTTTCTGCCTCATGAAAAATACAAGTGTCTCCCACATGATCAATAAAACCCGCACGAGTGGAACCCGGGTGATCCAACAGAGTTGTGTTCTGCACCTATTGTGTGACAGTCGTGGAATCGAGGAGTGATTGAAATGGATATGTCAGTGTTCAGTAATCACTCAGCTCCTCGTCTGCTCTCCTTGATCATTCAGAGGGAATCAGCGCTGCTCTTTGATCAGTCTCCGCCGCAGTAACTGGGCCACGACAAAGAGAAAGACTGGGCTGCACAGAACAGAGACACAGCCACGGATTTACCCCCGCGTTTCAATCTCACCGCTGATGATTCACGTCCTGTCGCCGTCGTACACGCCGCTGCTCGCCGCCCAAGTCTTTATTACAGAAAAACTCAAGCGAGCGTCACTCACTTCTTTTTTTTTTTTTGTGACTGCGCTAAACAAACACTTTTTTCTTTTTTTCTTTTCAATTATAATGATTATCATTATCTGCTGAGAGTCCAGCTCGCCACAAATTGGCTCCAGGTCCATAATTAATAGATGTGTCTTTTTTTAGACAAAGTTTCTGTTCAGATAGAGAATAGAGCTCCAATAACAACACGCCGAGCAGCAAGAGCCAAAACTGCGGGGGATAATTTGACCTCTGCGCTGCTAAAGGTCATGCAAATGCTATCACTTTTTACCCACGGCGTAATGACATGTATAAAACGGTCCAGTGAAA